CTTTTATTAAAAAAATTCTGATTTATTTACAAAATTTGAATACATTGTTTTCCACAAAAGTTTCTTCTCATTTTCTTCACCCCACCCATCCATCAATTTGTGCAACCCTATGATTAACATTCTACCCTCTCACCCATCCTCACCCCTCTTTTGCCACCATTCCTCCTGCCTTGGATCTTCATACTTATTTTAAAATAATGGTTTTATACAGTATTTGTCCTTGTGGGACTGAGTTAATTTTAATTTTTTTTAAAGCCAATGTCTTCAGCTTTAAGTTCATTACCATTGGTTATAATCATAAGCTATTTCCTAGAAGATTCCTTGTTAATAAATTTTTTTTTCTGTATAGTGTAGAACTTCATAAATCCTACCAAATTAATTTCATGTCTTGACTTTTAAAATCAAAGTTCATATAAAGGTCATCAATAAACTGTTAAATTTGTTTTCCCCTCTAGTACAAGTTTGTTGAGTTCTAACCTTTCTTTTACTCAGGAAACTATAATGGGATAAAAATGAGAACAGACTTTTGTTCTTCCTTTGAAGAAGCTATAAGCTGGTTGGAAATGAAAATTTGGTCATGGGATAGAGACATTGTAAAAGGGAACAAGATTTCTTACTGAAATCTTCTGTAAGCCTGGAGAGTAGGAAATAGTATGCTCATAGTGTACAGGAATAGGGTGTACCCACAGAGGTACATGGGTGTAAGATGTCAATCAACCAACATTGTTTTAGTTCTCTAGAGTAAAAAAAGGGCACAGCTCCATCTAGACAAGACGCACCTTCATCTGCTCCATTCTCAGAAACCAGAGGACTTTCCTAAAGCTGTAAGGAAGGGTGGATGTAGACTGGGGATAGACTGCAGACTTCTATAAACAGTTTAAGTTTGCAAAGGAGAAACTTGATATAAATAAAAGGAGTGGGAGATTGTTTCCAATGTATGCATTCAATTTCTTTTAGATTTTATAGCCATCACCCCAGCATTGGCCCCCTCCATGAGAGCCCCAGATAAAGCAGAAAGTGCAGTGACCAATGCCCTGGGGATCTCACTGTTTGAAATAACTGGGGATATAACTAGTCTATTTGCTTCTCTTTCAGACAAATTTCTCAAGAAGATAAAAACTGGGAAATTAACATTCTGGAACTACAAAAGAAGGTACCACATGTTTTCTTTGCGGGCACTTCTTTCTAGAGAAGAGAATGATCACTTTTCTTTACCTCATAAGAAACTATGACAAAATTACAGTTATTTCTGTCTTTATTCCTGTGGTTGTACATAATACCAAATTTATTTTCCAAAATTAGAGAGGAACACATTTTCCATACATACTGGAATATTTCGTTAAGAAATCAGGAAGTTATAATGTTTCTTTTCTAAGATATACTTAGGTATTCAAGAGTTACTTTAAGATGCATGACATGTGACTCTCCTTTATCTGCATGACTCAGGAGATGCTGGTCGTGATATGTGTTCTTTGGGGATATCACACTTGCAGATGGCCCACCTTGCTAGACTGGGTTGTTTGAACCATGAGTCAGAGTACATCCTGGGGACCTCTGTTACTATGGAAAAGCAAGTCAGGCAGAAGTAGGGAGAAGCAGCTAAGCATTTTACTTCAGTAACTCCAGCGAATCAAAAGGAATACACTTGACAGACACACAAAGGACAAGGAAGTGCAGTCTTTGGGTCACTTTTACTTAGACCAATTGAATGACATAGTACTGGAACATTCTTTGAGTTGTTTGATTCTCAATGGAGACTTTGTAAAGATAATTATTACAATGCCTTTCTATGGTTGGTGTGACTTCAGAAAACACTTATAGAGGTTCCTCTCAAACCTAGGACTCTTGGCCTTCTTTTCAGAGCACTTCTATTTTTTCCCCTCTCTCTGCCACACCCTCTTCCTTCCTAATTTTCTATCTGAGAATAATCTAGCAAATGCACTTTCCTCGGAGGTTGTGGGAAATCTGAATGAGATCAGCTTTGCAATGAGCAGAAGAGGGAGGACAGAAGCTAACAGCTTGGCCATAATGGACATGCCAGATAGGTTGCTCTGGAGGTTGTGCACAGGGGATGAGGACCCAAAACTGGAGGTGACATGGCAAGAAGGAATGGGTTTCTGTTGTTTGGTTATTATTTACATAGACTCCTGTCTGTACTGAGTTGGGCCTTTCAAGGCTTTGCTCCCTAATCCAGCCTCTATTACCTTTATGAGGAAATGCCTATAGTAGAGGAAGCCTTGCTCTTGTCCTACCACTAAGATTCAGAACAACTGAAAGGAAGTACCTTCAAGTTCAGAAAAGATCCTGTGGAGGACTATTTGTATCTTGACACCATGCCCTCTGAATAACTCTGGTACATTCTCACATGTTATCAGATTAATAAGGGAGTACCTGCCCATGTTCTTGGGAGCTTTAAACTTTATAAAATTTAGTTCTATAAATATATCTTCTATTCTATTCTATTCTATTCTATTCTAGCTTTAAAAATTATATAATAGCTTTAAACATTATATAATATCGTACGAGCTTTTGATAGGAACCACACCTGCTGTTATGCAAACAAACTAACCTCCTAATTATGATAAGTGCTCTTTGTGCAATAGAAAGGGGATAGTTGGCATAAACTGTATAATCCACAAAAACATGGAATCCAGATACAGGAAAGGCTGAGTCACTGCAGATTGCTTCTCTGTACCAATGGCTTTCTCAATATCTTTTCTGACAGCTGAGCTATTGCACAAGGTGGAAATTCCATTTAGTCAAATGTTGCATAAATGGATCATATTGCACTGAAATTTATTGTTGGGTGGGGCTTTTTTCTCTCTCTATATGAGTTTGGGCGCCTAACTCCTAAATCTGTACATTTTTCATTTTTAACATGTTTCGGAAAACATACAAGTGATCCAAGTCACCTGGAATGACAACAGGAGCCAGAGGTTGACACAAATTAATCAAATCCTTTTCTCTCTTACAGCACAGAATATCAGACAGGACTCTGTTAGCCAAATGCTTGATTGTGCTGGGAGTAGTTATCTTTACATTCTTTCTCAATTCATTTGTTCCTGGCATTCATCTTGATCTCGGTGAGTCTATTTTTATCTGCAGTTCACATTATAGTTAATAAAGATAGTCTTTTAAACTTTTTTATTATACTAGTTTATTTACAAAATTCAAATACATTGTTTTCCAGAACAGATTCTTCCAATTTCCCTCATCCACCTACCCACCCATCAAATTGTACAACTCCATGATTAATTCCTTCCTTCCCCCTGCATGTCCTTATCCCTCTGCTTCCACTCCTCCTTGGGTCATTATAATTGTTCTGCAATAATGGTTGTATATAATATTTGTCCTTGTGGCACTGAGTTAGTTCCTGTCTGCAGATGGAAGATCAGCATAATGATCTCCAGTTCCTCCCAAGCTAGGTAATAATTTACAGAATAATTGCTCCTGCATGCTATGTAGTATCCTGTTGTGTGAATGTATCATCATTTCTCAATCCATTTGTTTGTGGTTATTTTTCAATCTGTTTGTTTGTGGTTGGACATCTGGGCTATTTCCATGTTCTTGAAATGGTGAATAATGCTGCTATAAACATGGGTGTACAGTCGCTGTTTGTGCCTCAGTTCTCATAAAAGCAGTGCTGATGGCACTGACTTGCCTGCCAGCTGCTGGACTATTCTAGAGGCCAGTGAGAATTGAATAAAGGTGAAATCTTTTGAAGAAAATGGGAGTCCCTGTATTGATTTGAGAGAGATAGAAAAAGAGAAAAAGCTAAAGACTTGGACATTGATCTAGAATCAGAGAGATGAGGAATGATATAATAGAGACAGAGAGGGAGACAAAGATAGAGACAGGAAAATAGATAGAGGAAGAGAAATGGAGATATAAGGAGAGATGGAAACAGAAAGGGTGACACATATTTAGTGCTAAGGCTCTCTTCATCCCCACAATGTTTAACTGGAAACCCTATGAACTTTGAGAAATGAATAAAGTTATACACATGTTCAGGTCTTTCATTCATAGGATCTCTTATGACTCGACGGCATTTAGCAACAACAACAATAACATTTGCAAAAGTGCTAAAGCACTGCCCAGAAATCAGCACAAGTCTCTACTGCATGCGAGGTTTTGTTACTTTTCGTTCTCCATCCACCAGACCTGCTCTGAGGTATAGGCTGACCACCAACATCTTCCTTCCTTCTTTGCAATCCTGCCTTGGCTACTTTAAACTCATTCTCACACTATCTTACGGAGCTCTGGTGTCCTAGTGGTAAGAAGCTGCACTGCAATCTCAAAAGCATGTGGTTCAAGTCCACTATCTGCTCTGTGGGAGTAAGTAGGGTGGGCAATCCCTTCCCATGCAATTAAATCTCTCTAAAAACCCACTGGAGGGTCAGCTATGGTTCAGTTTCAACTCCACTGTGCACAACTATACCACACACATATACATATTTCCTGTTAACCCATGACCATTGTATAAAACAGATCTAGACTTTATAAAGCAAATAGATAACACTGACATTGTGTTATTATTTCTTTGTCTTCCTGACTGTAATGGAAACTTTTCATTCTAAGGATCTCTTCTTCATGGTTTAATAGAAAGTCACATTTCTACAAATTCATAGCACATAATTTAAAAACCTTGACTCTCTGGAGGTTTGAATCCACTAGCAGCTCTTCAGAAGAAGAATGAACAAAAGAAACACTCTTCCTCTCTTTGAGTCACAGTCTTAGAAACACAATGAAGGGTCAGCTATTAGTTGGTTCTAACTCCATGGCAATATATTTGTTTCCCCCCCCCAGTTTTTTCTATTTTTTTTAAATAAAATTTTTGTTATATACTGGTTTATCAACTCAGGAATAGGTTTGAGGCCTTGAACACTAATGAATAAAGACTAGATAAGCTGTGGGAAGATATCAAGAACATTGTTCATGAAGAATGCAAAAAATCATTACAAAGAAGGAAGAAGAAAAGACCAAAATGAATGTCAGAAGAGACTCTGAATATTGCACTAGAGCACTGAGAAGTCAAAGTAAAGGGAAGAAATCAAGAAGTTAAGGAGCAGAACAGAAGATTTCAAAGGGCTTGCCAAGAAAGACAAGGCAAAATATTATAATAAAGTGTGTAAGGAACTGGAGTCAGAAAATCAAAAGGGCCACACTCACTCAGCATTTCTTAAGCTGAAAGAACTAAAGAATAAATTCAAACCATGAGTTTCAATGCTTAAGGATGCTATGGGCAGAATTTTGAATGATTCAAGAACCATTAAAAGGAGATGGAAAGAGGATACTGAATCATTGAACCAAGAAGGATTGGCTGACACAGAAGAATTTCAAGAAACAACAGATGATCAAGAGACAATTGTGATGAAGGAGAAAGTGCAGGCCGCTCTGGAGTTGGCAAAAAATAAAACCCCAGAAATTCATTGAATACCAATTGATGTATTTCAGCAAACAGATGTTGCCCTGTATGTGCTCACCAAGTTGTGCCAAGAAATCTGGAGGCCAACAACTTGGCAAACTGACTGCAAGTGATCCATGTTTATTCCAATTCCAAAAAAAGGTGACCTGACACAGTGTGGAAATTATTGAACAATATCACTAATATCACATACTAGCAAAATCCTGCTGAAGATTATCCAGAAAAGACTTGAACAGTACATTGACAGAGAACTATCAGAAATACAGACTGGGTTTAGAAGAGGTTGTGGCACTAGGAACATTACTGCCAATGTCAGATGGATCTTGGCAGAAAGCTGAGAGTACCAGAAGAATGTCTATCTGTGTTTCATTTACTATGCAAAGACATTTGACTGTGTGGACCACAATAAACTGTGGCTAACCTTGAGGAAAATGAAAATCTCAGAACACTTGATTGTATTTATATGAAATCTGACTAGGGAGGATAGAAGGAGAATTAATGCCTTTGAGCTTTGGTGTTGGAGAAGAGTATTGAAGGTACCACGGACTGCTAAGAAAACAAACAGATTTATCCTGGAGAGGGTTAAACCAGGCTGCTCCTTGGAGGCAAGAATTCTGAGGCTTTGTCTGACGTAGTTTGGTTATGCTGAAAGGAGAGACTAGTCCTTGGAGAAGGACATCATGCTTGGGAGGGTGGAGGGCAGGCACAGGAGGGGAAGGCCCTCTAGGATGTGGGTTGATTTGGTGACTGGGGTAATTGGTATGGGTGTGTCACAGACAGCGAGATTGGCACAGGACAGAGCAGAGTTTAGGGCTGTGGAACATAGGGTCACTATGAGTTGCAAGCGACTCGATGGCACATAACAACAACAGCAACATATTTGGATCAGAAAGCAGTACTCAGAATGGAGCAAGGAAACACTTCATGGTTCCAAATCAGGAGTGTGGTGCATCAGAGATATATCCTGTTCTCATACCTTTTCAATTTGTATGCAGAACAGATCATTACGGAAGCAGGGCTTTATAAGAAGTGTGACGTTAAGATTGGTGGAAGACTCATTAACAACCTATGATATGGAGATGACACAATCTTGGTTCCTAAACCCGAAGAAGACCTGAAGCACTTGCAAAAGGTCAAGGACTGTAGTCTTCAATATGGATTGAACCTCAACATCAAGAAGACAAAGATCTCACCGCTGGGCCAATTGACAGCATCATAATAGATGGAGAAGAGATTGAGGTTGTAGTAATTAAAGCTTTCTCAGATCCACAATCAACACTCTTAACACCAGCAGTCAGGAAATAAAATGATTAATTACACTTGGAAAAACTGCTGTCATGGACCTCTCCAGAGTGCTGAAGAGCAACAGTGTCAGTCTAGGTACGAAGGGGTGCCTAATCCAGACCATGGTATTCTCAATTACTTGTTACGCTTCTGAGAGTTGGCATAGGATGACAGAAGAAGAGTAGTTGCCTTCGAGTTGTGGTGCTGGAGAAGAGTGTTGAGCATATACCATGAACTGCCAAGAAAACAAATAGGTCTGTCTTGGAGAGGGTGGAACCAAGTCTATCCTGGGAGGCTAGGATTTTGAAGCTCTGTCTCACTTACTTTGGGCATGTGGCCAGAAAGGACTGTTCCTTGGAGAAGGACATCATGCTTAGAAGGGTGTACAGACAGTGTAGGAGAGGAAGACCTCGTATGAGATGGATTGATACAGTGACTGGGGCAATAGAGGTTAGTATGTCATAAATAGTGGCTCAGGACAGGTAAGGTTTCAGGGCAGTTGTACATAGGGTTGCTATACATTTCAGGCGAATCAATGACACATAATAACAACATACTATGACATATTTGGAAGCAGGAGTAGCATCTACTTCCCAAACATCATGCCTCCAAAAACTCTATGAACTTTGATAAGTGTCGGTAGTTGTAGAGGGGCTTCAGGCCTTTTGTTCCTAGGATTGCTATGAGTCATGCTTGACTTGAAGGCAATCAGCAGCAGCAGCAACAACAACAACAACAACGGGCTTATTTAAAGCTAGCATACATTGTTTTTCACACCAGATCTTTACCCATCCTACCTTCTATTCATTAAATTGTGTGATCCTATGATTAATTACACCAGCCCCGGCCCATCCTCAACCCTCTGCTCCCACCTTTCCACCCTTGGGTCTTCATACACATTCTACAATAATGGTTTTATACAGTATTCACTTAGCATGTGCTCTCCAGTCTCTCCCAAGTTAGGTAGTGATTTACAAAATCATTACTCCTGCATCCATTGGGTGGAGGTACCATAACTTCTCAATACATTCTATTTGGCCATTTGGACTGTTTCCATGTTCTTGTGTTGGTAAATAATGCATGGCAATAAGCTTTGAGAGTTAATTCAGTGTTATGTCAAGTATTCACAGTAAATTCTGCTTGGAATTTATTTCCCTAAACAATCTCAAAATCTTGTCTGGTACCCTACATTTGGTTCTGGAGTTTTAGGTCTTCTTTCTATATAACTAAGAGCTAATTCATATAAAACATGATATATTAATGAAGAATGCAAAAACTGTGAGAAACATTTTAATTATGATTGGTGAATTACATCTACAAATTGCGGTTCCAGTGTAATTATTTTTTTATTTCATTGAGATCTGAGTGAAAGTT